AGACAGAGACGTGAGACAGCATCTATGAGACAGAGACGTGAGACAGCATCTATGAGACAGAGACGTGAGACAGCATCTATGAGACAGAGACGTGAGACAGCATCTATGAGACAGAGACATGAGACAGTATCTATGAGACAGAGACATGAGACAGTATCTATGAGACAGACATGAGACACTGTCTGAGACAGAGACGTATGAGACACTGTCTGAGACTGAAACATGAGACAGTATATATGAGACAGAGACATGAGACACTGAGACGTGAGATGTGAGAAACTAAGACAGAGATGTGAGGCATGTGACACTGTCTGAGATAGAGATGGAAGACATGAGACACTGAGACAGATAGACATAAGACCCTGTCTGAGACAGACGTAAGACATAAGACACTGTCGGAGACAGAGATGTGAAAAATGAGACATTATCCTTGACAGAGCCATGAGACATGAGACACTGTCTGAGACAGACATGACACGTGAGACACTGTCTATGAGACAGACATGAGATATGACACGTTTCTATGAGTCAGTCATGAGACAGTCAGGGATAAGAGACAGGGATTTGAGACATGAGACAGTATCTATGAGACAGAGACATGAGACATGAAACACTGTCTGAGACAGAGACGTAAGACATGAGACAGTATCTGAGACAGAGACATGAGACACTGTCTGAGACATGAGATGTGAGAAACAGTCTGAGACAGAGACATGAGACATGAGACAGTATCTATGAGACAGAGACATGAGACATAAGACAGTATCTATGAGACAGAAACATGAGACATTATCTATAAGACAGACATGAGACACTGAGACGTGAGATGTGAGAAACTGAGACAGAGATATGAGACATGAGACACTGTTTGATACAGAGACGTAAAACATGAGACGCTGTCTGAGACAGATATGAGACATGAGACCCTGTCTGAGACAGACATAAGACACTGTCTGAGACAAAGACTTGTGACACTGTCTGAGACAGACAAGAAACATGAGACACTGTCTGAGACAAAGACTTGTGACACTGTCTGAGACAGACAAGAAACATGAGACACTGTCTGAGACAGACGTAAGACATAAGACACTGTCTGAGACAAGGACTTGTGACACCGTCTGAGACAGAGATGTGAAAAATGAGACATTATCCTTGACAGAGACATGAGACCTGAGACACTGTCTGAGACAGACATGACAAGTGAGACACTATCTATGAGACGGAGACATGAGATATGACACGTTTCTACAAGTCAAAGTCATGAGACAGTCAGGGACAAGAGACAGGGATATGAGACATGAGACAGACATAAGATGTAACGTGATATGAGGCGTGAGACTAAAACATGAGACATGCCCATGAGACTTGAAACAGACACGAGACAGAGACATAGGACAATGAGACATGAGACTTTCTCTGAGACATGAAACGAACCTGAGATAGAGACATGAGACAGACGCATGAGAAATGAGAAGATTTGGGACAGCAGTGTCTATGAGACAAACATGAGACAGAGGGACCACTGTGGAGACAGAAGACAGAGACATGATGTGTGACATGAGACAGAAAGGAGGACCTCTGAGCAGAAGACATTCTGAGACATGAGACGTGACAGAAGATATGAGACATGAGACATGAGACAGGCAGAGGGACCACTGTGGAGACATGAGACGAACAGAAATCCTGAGCTGCATCACGTTAGTTAAAAACAATTAAAAATTTCAGTTTTAAACACAAAATAAATAAATTTTATTTATTTTTGTTTCAAACTGATTTATTTTTCAGCAACAAAACCTAAAACTTGTTTTAATAA